TGATGAGCTGGAATCCAGATGACTGTGGCGTTTGTGTTAGGTTGGTTGTGGTTTAGTTCTTGGATGGTGGATATTAATTGGTTTTCTTGGTCGTATGATTTCGTTAGAGATTTTGTAACGCTCATAGAGTCAGTGTAAATGACGATCTGGCCTTCGTTATTTGAGTGTGTATATTTGATGGCTTCCAGAATAGCATAAGTTTCGGCTGTGATGAAGATGGACGATGAAGAGGGGAGATTTCTAAAGGAATTCTTTTCGCAAAATCATTGGAAAGGTTTTACTTTGTTTAATCAGGTGACTCGTACCTTTGAACGCGTACATGTGTCCCTCCGCAGAGTTGAACATCGTGTCGACCTTTGGATCTGTGCAAAGTTCCGAGTCTTCTTCGCTGGGCGGTGCCGTGGTAGTGGTGGTATATCTTGGCCCACTTGGAACGCCACTGGTGCTCGTCGTTTTCTTTCCATAGAGAGCCTGCAGCAAAGTTGCACAAATGCTTTCATCAACATCGCATGAATTCGAATCGCGTCGCGACATTTACCTGAATACCCTGAATGTCGTCGTCGTCCAGACGAAAGTAGGGTTGGTATCCGCGGTAGAAGGGCGCCATCAGGGCAGCCTTGACGTCGCTGTGGCTCAGGCCAAGGGAATGGCCAAACTCGTGCGCCGCTACTTGAAAGAGATTCGTCCCACGGAAACTGTCGATGCTCCATTGTTCCGCGTCGTCGAAGTGGGCATCACCGCCGTACACGGGGAAGTAAGCGTGTGCCAAAGTGCCGCCAGGCCCGTCGAAAGGATCTCCGTCGCCGTGCTCGCCCTTCTCGAATCTGATCTCAATGTGGACCTACAGTAGTAGCAAGGATAGTCGACACTGTTTCTTTTTAAATAACTAATACCTCGATTGAATTTATTTGTACTTCTTTCTAATCATTGTATCAACGTGTAACTGTATCTTGTGGTGTGTGTGTGTGTGTGTGTGTGTGTGTGTGTGTGTGTGTGTTGCAGTGCGAGTATTGATTTCCTTTCTTTTTCTCGCGATAGTGAAACAAATCTTGGTAGATGTTGCTCGTCTCACCTGGCCGGACTTCTTCTGAATGAAAACGAGATCCGTGTATTCCGACCATACTTTGAACGCCTTGTTCAGCTCGGCGTCGACCTTGTGCTGCGGCAGATTTCGCGGATACTTGCTGATCTTGTAGGTCAGTTTCTTCACGCGCCACCTCGAGCCTGTGACGATAAATTGAAACGATGGATATCTTTAGAAAATAGTGTTTTTTTTTTTTTTTTTAAGGAGAGATTGTTATTATTGATAAATTTTTGATTTTTCGACCACACTAATTTTTACAAACAACGTCTTGGCAGTCTCTCTGCAACTTCTTTTTATGTAATCTCTATGCACTTATACCGTCTTATTTATTTCTTGTGCAACGATTTTATTTTTAAATGTGCATAAGTCTCGTACATCGCTCGTTTAAGATTTTAGCACCGAGAGAAACGGACGCTGAACGAAGACTGACGAAAATTCGCCGCTCTTTCATTTATCGTCGACTCTTTTCAGAATCGTCGAAACGTTATTTCCCACTTCAGTCAGTTAGTAATCCATCGTTTTTCCAATCAAGCACGCTAATTCTCTCATTAATCACGTGCAATGTCGTGCAATGTCTCAGAAATTGAGACTGTTAATCAACGGTGATAAACTTTGCGTTTGCTCTATTTCGAGCAATATTGATTATAATTATATTAATTGATTACATTGATTAGTTATGTTAATTATATTAATATTAATAATATTAGTGTAGTTATATTAATAATATTAATAAATATAATATTAATAATACAGTTGTATTATTAATATAATATTAATATTATAATATAGTTATTATATAGTTATATTATATTATTAATATTAATAATATTAATAAATATAATATTAATATTAATAATATAGTTATGTTATTAATATAATATTAATATTATAATATAGTTATTATATAGTTATTATATTATATTATTAATATTATTATGATATAGTTATATAATTATATTAATTGGTTACATTGATTAGTTATGTTAATTATATTAATATTAATAATATTAGTGTAGTTATATTAATAATATTAACAAATATAATATTAATATTAATAATATAGTTATGTTATTAATATAATATTAATATTATTATATAGTTATGTTATTAATATAATATTAATATTATAATATAGTTACTGATTAATTAATATTAATAATATACTTAGTATAATATAAGTATTAATATAACAAAGAATTCAGTAATGTGATTTGAACAAGAGGAAGCGCAAAGGCAGCTCAAGAACATATCCGTTACAAAAATATATCCCTCGTGTCATGAAAAAAGAAGCTTATTATCACATAGATCGCCTCGTCATCGCGACTACAACCCAACTTATTATTTCTTATAAACGATAGATCCAGCAAGCAAGGTCAACCGGCGACAAGAGCAAAACTCATCGAAGCTTACATCCTTCATCATTTATGTCTCTTTTGTAATCTGTTCGCTTTAAAAATAACATCCACGAACGGTCTCATTTTGAAATAATGGCGGAATATTCATATCCGAATAACTATAGACTGACTAAACTAACTAACGTTGTTTCATTACCAGAAGTTCATCGTCTGTCCTTAACTTTTTGAGTGCAATAGGATGTTCGAGGAATTGTCCATCTCTGAGTCTAGTTGTTCTTTTTATTTTTAAATGAACATTGAATCTAACTACCATAATTACCATAATCTTGTTTCATGTTATAGTAAATTCATGCTATATGAAATTTTAGAAAATATCTAGACACTTTCGTGATACAGAAAGTTTGTACATCTGAGGCAAAGTATTATTATTATGATTATTATTATTATTATTATTGTATTTAATCCTCTTCTCTTGCGGCTTAAGGATAGCTTCCGGTTGTCTTACACTCCTACATATACTCATATACTAATGTACATATACTCTTTACAAATCCTACATATACTTGTATATACTAATATGATACTTAAACTAACTTAACTGTAACTTTAACCACAAATCGTGAATTTCCTTAACACTGAAACACATTAAATTACGAACTATAAACAATACTCAATGATGGATTTCAGCATATCTATTTTTATTGCTACTTTCTTTCTTTGGTTCTTCTTTGGTTTTCCTTTCGTGTTAAAATGTTCTTCATTGCTCTATTCCCTGTGTACTCTTTCTCATTTGAGGCAAAGTATTAGATTTTGGTATAAAATTAAAAGATACTTGTGTTTTCAGGTTGAACACAATTTTTATTATTCCATATCGAGAGAGAGAGAGAGAGAAAGAGCACAGCTAGTAGGTCACAACTAGGGAACCTGTTATGCAATAGAATTCCATTAGATTTTGATTTTGGTACAAACCAAATTAAAAGACACTTGTGTTTTCAGGTTGAACACAATTTTTATTATTCCATATCGAAAGAGAGAGAGAAAGAGGGAGAGAGAGAAAGAGCACAGCTAGTAGGTCACAACTAGGGAACCTGTTATGCAATAGAATTCCATTAGATTTTGATTTTGGTATAAACCAAATTAGAGAAGACACTTGTGTTTTCAGATTGAACACAATTTTTGTCATTCCATATCGAGAGAGAGAGAGAGAGAGAGAGAGAGAGAGAGCACAGCTAGTAGATTACAACTAGGGAACCTGTTATGCAATAGAATTAGATTTTGATTTTGGTACAAACCAAATTAAAAGACACTTGTGTTTTCAGGTTGAATACAATTTTTATCATTCCATATCCAGAGAGAGTGTGAGAGAGAGAGAGAGAAAGAGCACAGCTAGTAGGTCACAACTAGGGAACCTGTTACGCGATAGAATTCCATAGGATGCACGCATCGGTGATCTTGTCGCTGTGAGTTCACTGAAACGAGGAACTCGCCCGCCGCGCGAGGTTCAAAGTCACGGTTAGGATCGATCGGATCTCGAATGATTTTCCACGTAGATTTCCAGACGCGCATTCGCGCACGGTGAATCAAGCGCCGGTCACTTTCTTCCAAGAAGAACATTCAACCAACCGGAGGGGAGGAACGAGGAATGCCTTATGGGTTGTGGTTGTCGATTGTCTAATAGTTTATGGAAAGGTTCGCGATCAGAAGCAATTAGCGTGACGATTGGTCAAAGGGCAATTAGTATGACCAATTGCCAAGTAGACTGCGAAGGAAATTTGTCATATGTTTATATTATAACAGAGCATACACACGTAGAAAATTTGCAAAATGCGAGACTCGTGGTAACTTTTTGATTTGGCAAAGTTTCTTACTTCCCCTGTGTAAATAATTTCTGCAAACGATTGCGATTAGCTGCAGAAAGCCAACGTAGCTTCTTTGTCATTTTGAAATCTAATTCGAGGGACTTTGTACTGGACATACGGGCTCTCGATTATAACGACCTCGTTTTTAATAGCACCCGGTTGCACAGCCTTCTCGGAAGTGTGTGCGTGTTTGAAAAAATGCGTTCGACAAACAGCCGCGTTTAGGGTGAGTGATTTTACATTGTGGACAATGGAGCCAGGAAGTCAGGAAGTGACGCTGAATCGCGGACACGTTTCGTCACTTTGGTGATCATTCGAATTGCTATTAATTGTCTCAGCGTATAATTGGTATATATGTACTTTGAAAATTTCAACAATTCTTTTTCCTTTTACGTAACAATGCCGATTTTAAAATACCGACGCATTATACTTTGACAAGAATGATATTATCACACGACCTTGATGTTTGTGATTATCATGATTTTTGAAGTTTCTGTTGCAATATCAATCTTTAATTTAAAAATCACGCAATAGACGTGCCAATAGTTGAAGTTACTTTGATTTATAAATATTTTTTTTGTGATTGCACTGCTTGTGCTTAGTTTCTTTTTTTTATAATAATGAAAATACAATTATTATATATTACATAATAAATATAATATATTATATTTAATATTTGTATTATAAATATTATATAAATATAATTTAATTTACTGATTTATATAATATTTATAATATAAATATTAAATATAATATAATATATATAAATATATTATTATATATTATATAATAATTATATTTAATATTTTCATTATTATAAAAATATAATAAATATAATATATTATATTTAATATTTGCATTATAAATCATATAAATATAATTTAATTTACTGATTTACATAACATTTATAATATAAATATTAAATATAATATAATATATATATAAATATATTATTATATATTGTATAATAATTATATTTAATATTTTCATTATTATAAAAATATGATAAATATATAAATATATTATATAATAATGAAAATATCAAATAGAATAGAATATACTAGAAAATAATAGAATATACTGAATATAATAGAATTGTTTTTAACTTTATTCACCTTGAAGAGCGTACCGCTTCGATCTTCCAAAACCGGGGCCAACCTTGTCCTTAACGCCGCACCTTGGCAGTGCCATTAGCTTGTACGTTTCCTCGTCGAAGTCACCTGAAAAGGAGCAATTTTTCTTCATTAAAAGTAGAAAAATTAAATCAGGTAGGACTTTTCCAAAAAAAAAAAGAGTCCAATGAAAATTGTTCCAATTTTCGATGGAATCTTAGTTAAAAAGTTGGCCTTAATCTCCCCAGAATTCTCTCAAAGGGAGATTTTTTTTCCCTCCCGTAGTAGAAGAATCCTTTACAACGTACAAGTTACATGTCTCCATTATTTATTTCGCATCAAGGCTACATCGGGCGTACGTTCAGTTTAGATCGCAGGATTCGCGAGGATATCGATCCCCCTCGGTCATGCCACGCTTCTTCGTGTTCCCTATTTACGATCATACGCTTGTGTACATGTATAATACATACGTTTGCTCGTGTCACCGTGCATATGCATCAGCGTAACACGAACGCATAATGTGCAGAGCACATGAGAAACATTAGGCTACCTGCACACCTTCGATCGAGCTCGAAGATAAACTCCAATTAAATCAATTGAATCGTGATCGGGGGGGGGGGGGCAATTAGCGTGTTACACATTGAAACCATGAGAAATTTTCACATGGTTTTCACATCTAGTATCTGTATAAATCTATTTTTTGTTTTTTTTTTTTTTTTACAGCGAGATATAAATTAAAGTTATAAAGTTATAAATTATAAAGTTATAAGTTATAAAGTTATAAATTATAAAGTTATAAGTCATAAAGTTATAAATTATGAAGTTATAAGTTATAAAGTTATAAATTAAATTTCATACATGATTGTATATATATAATATACAGTAAGAGTGTACAATTGTGATAATACACAAGAGTAAAAACAGTCTTAAAAAACACTTTGGAAACATACACAAGAGTAAAAACAGTCTTGAAAAACACTTTGAAAAGATACAGCAAGACAATGCACAATTATGGTGACGCGCAAGAGTGAAGAACAATATTGAATTCGACTAGTTAACGTTCGTAGTTTTTAGTAGCACGGGCCAGGTTTGAGAGTGTTTGACGTGGTTCTAACAAGTGTGCGACGAGCTTTAGTCGTCTCGTGTCACGTGTAAACGAATCTCCGCTCTGTTTGAGGCGGTCACGCGACTGCAAGCTGCACGTTTATTAATACTTCTCTCTGCGTGGAGATTGTGGATGTATTAACGATCGCGAACGATTGTCCGCGTTTTCGGGGAGATCGGAACGAGTCAGCGTGGCTCGTTGTTGGAACTTTGGTCTTGAAATTCGTTCGAAAAGGAAAAGGATGAATTGAAGAATTATTCATTATTACATATTATTAAAAAATTTGACAAGAAAAAGGATTATTCTGTTATATTATTATTATTATATATATATTATTATTATATATTGTTATTATATATTATTATATATTAAGGAATTAAGGACAAATTTTTGACTTTTTTTTTGAAGCACAAATTTCTAATTCGTTCGAAAAGGAAAAGGATGAATTGAAGAATTATTCATTATTACATATTATTAAAAAATTTGACAAGAAAAGGATTATTCTGTTATATTATTATTATTATTAGATATTAAGGAATTAAGGAAAAATTGCTATTTTTTTTGAAGCACAAATTTCTAATTCGTTCGAAATGGAAAAGGATGAATTGAGGAATTATTCATTATTACATATTATTAAAAAATTTGACAAGAAAAAGGATTATTCTGTTATATTATTATTATTAGATATTAAGGAATTAAGGACAAATTGCTTTTTTTTTGAAGCACAAATTTCTAATTCGTTCGAAATGGAAAAGTATGAATTGAGGAATTATTTATTATTACAAAATTATTAAAAAATTTGACAAGAAAAGGATTATTCTGTTATATTATTATTATATATTAAGGAATTAAGGACAAATTGCTTTTTCTTTCTGTACGAAACACAAATTTCTAATCACCAAGTTCCTTCTCTCCGCGACGTTTCTTTTAACTCATCGCGCGTAAATTATATATTTCACGCGGATTTTCCGTCGAATTCTTACGAAAGATGCACACTCGTGACTCGCTTCTCCCTCTTTTTAGCCTTAGTTCGTTACGTGTGCGACGATGCTTAATTCACCGCGACTAATACGCAAGGCTGACGATACCCAGCGAGTGTTTTAATAAGCGAGGAAGTATTGAACGCGTTGGACACGTAAAATCGGAAGAACACCTGTCAATAAACACCGTTTACTCATAATAACCGAATAATACTCCCGTCGATAGGGTGCAATTTAACAGTTAGATCATTCTTCCGTTCACCTTCGTGTTTTGTTGGTTTCTTTTTCTCTTTTTTCTTTTTAATTTTCAACACTTGGTTCTTTTATTTAGTATTTATTTTATTTTATTTTATTTTGTTTTATTTAGTATTTTATTTTACTTTATTTTGTTTTATTTAGTATTTTATTTTATTTTATTTTGTTTTATTTAGTATTTTGTTTTATTTTATTTTATTTTATTTTATTTTATTCTATTTTATTTTATTTTATTCTATTTTATTTTATTTTATTCTATTTTATTTTATTTTATTCTATTTTATTTTATTTTATTTTATTTTGTTCTATTTTATTTAGTATTTTAATCACTTAAATACTACTTAATATTTAAGTGATCAATTTTTGGCCCATCCAGTGGTAATTTTCGCAGTGTCGTGTTTCAAAGTGGAACCGATGTAACCAGTGTTACAGACAATCGAAGTGAAATCATTTCGCGGCTGTGACTTTTACCTCGACTTCGCAACGATCGACGATTTTGGTCATTTTTCCTTTACGGATCGCTCGTTCTGGCCTGGCCGCTCTATTATCTAATATATTTAGAAACCTCAGCAGCAGCCCCATCTTGGGCAATTCGTCGAAAGAAGTGTCTTTTTCGTCGTCGCGAGAAATCGTCCGAAAAAGGCACATTTGCATTGCGATATTCATTGTATAATAATTTTGCTGTTACTGCAACAAATGGACTGTAATTTCCACTACTTCACGGTATTTTGTATCTTATCTCTGTCTGTTATCCTCGTTGTTCTGTGACCGCTTTAATTGCGTTTATCATTGTAATTTTACTTCGATTCAAAGCGTTCTAATGATGTCTAATAACACGTTTTGTAATTGTTCGTGTTACACTTACCGGCTTACGTGCACGTTGATCGTAAAAAAAAAANAAAAAAAAAAAAAAAAAAAAAAAAAAAAAAAAAAAAAAAAAAGAAAAATGACTGATATTCGAGAGAACGTGTTTCTTCAGAGATTAGAGGAATTTTTTTCTTTTAAATAATAATAATCACGATAGTTAATATGCCGCAATTTTTATGCAGTTCGATAAGTTATCTCTAATGTGACACAGCGAACAATACTTGCGATATTAATAATACTATCTCATTTGCACTCGACCGTCTCTTCTGAGAAGACATGGTATTTAAATCTAGCCTTAACTTGAACTTTTCCACTTTTTATAATTTGCTATAATTTGCTCTTTTTTTTGTAATTTGATAATTATAACGAATATATGCACATCTGGTGTTGCACGATGCAGTGTATAATATCTGAAGAGACTGGAGTGTACTATACGACTATAATAACGACATGAAAAGAAAATACAAAAAGTATTTCAGAAGAAGAGATTTCTGAAGACAGTCCTTAGTCAATTGGAACAATTCACGTAATTCGGCATATAATTCACATAAACTGGACTTCTCGTTGCTTCTTATGAAAGTTTTTAAAAGAATGAAAGCTATTATTTTCCCAAAGATTGAAATTACTTAGGTCAAATTCAGCTTAGGTTTAGCCCATTTATATTATACTTGTTCTAGAAATGCACGTTGACGATTGCTTCAAATTTCACACACGTTGGAAAAACATAGTCAACAAAATTTCGCTTATTAAGTATCATTAGATTGATTATTTTCAGTATATCATTTTTTGATTCGAAGCGACGATGCTTTGCAAATAAATTGCTAGTAGATGATTCGAAAAAAGTTTGTCAAAGTTGTTAAATACATCACATTGAAATTCTCATTAAAGAAAAATCAAAGATCCGATCTTTCAAAAGTCAAAGAACTCCGAAAAAATTAGAAGTCACACAGAAATCGAAGAATTTCGGAAAAAATTAAAAAAATTAAGAGATCATCGTCAATCACAGCTCGAAAAGAGTGACCGGATGACGAACAGAATAAACCAGACGAACTCGCGATGCGTGAGTCAGTTTTCGAGCGTCCGTTGATGAATCCGCCGCATTTCATCGAATTCTGAATCATCGTTCAGCATCATCCTCGTGGTCGAGAATCCAGGAGAGATTGTCCTGTGATTGAACCTCTTGCGCTGGAATGACATGCCACGCACGTTGAGAAATTTAGAATATTTCGTCCCAAAATTGCAATATTTTCTCAGTTTTAAGTATATTTGCAAAACAATAATAATAAATTTATTATTTCCCAATAATTATTATTATAATATTATATATAATGATAATACAATAATAATATAATATAATATAATAATATATTATTATTATAATATTGTTATAATATAATAAATTTATTACTTCTCAATAATTTCTATCCAGTGATATCGTACCGGCGAGTTCAAAAAGAAAGCGACGAATTATTTTATACGGTCTGGTCACTCGTTATGGTCCGCAGTTATGGTTAACCTCTTGCTAACGCACGTCGAGAATTTTTTCGTTCCAAAATTGCAATATTTTCTCAGTTTTTAAGTATATTTAAGTATACTGGCAAAACAATATGATAATTTATTACTTCTCAATAATTATTATTATAATATTATTATATATAATAATAATATATAATAATATATTTATAATTCAATATATAATAATATATTATTATTGTAATATTGTTACAATATAATAAATTTGTTACTTCTCAATAATTTCTATCCAGTGATGTACCGGCGAGTTCAAAAAGAAAGCGACGAATTATTGTACACGGTCTGGTCACTCGTTATGGTCCGCAATTATGGTTAACCTCTTGCTAACGCACGTCGAGAATTTTTCGTCCCAATATTGCAATATTTTCTCAGTTTTAAGTACATTTAAGTATATTGGCAAAACAATATAATAATAAATAAATTTACTACTTCTCAATAATTATTATTATAATATTATTATATATAATAATATATAATAATATAATATAATAATAATATAATAATAATATATTATTATAATATTGTTATAATATAATAAATTTATTACTTCTCAATAATTTCTATCCAGTGATATCGTACCGGCGAGTTCAAAAAGGAAGCGACGAATTTATTGTGCACGGTTTTGGTCACTCGTTATGGTCCGCAATCAGTTGGTCAGCGCTCCGTTTGCGAACGACTCTCTCGTCGTTCGCAACGAGTTTTGAAGTTTTGCGTTTGTCTGAGTTTTTCAAGAAAAAAAAAAAAAAACTCAGCCTCGCTTTTCTTATTTTTCTCCTGTTGCCGATCTCGCCGATTTCGCGTCTCGAACAGCGTGTTTTCAACAACAGGGCCAAGTCGGCGTCTCTCCGTGGTCTCTCAAGGTCTGGAAACGCTGAAAAATCCGAAGCCGGTCGAACGAGTATGCGAGTGCATCGCTCTTGTTGCGAGCGGAACACGAGTCGAGACGGTTTTCAAGAGCGTAGGATATTTCCTACAATCGAACGAAACCGTACTCATGCTCTTAACGCTCATCGAAAATGGCCGAAATGACCAGTTTGTAATTTTCGTTAGATATTTTATAGATACGAAAACGGTGTATTTTCAGAGATTTAGCTCCACTGTATTACAAAGTTTTTCTATACTTCTTTTCTTTTTTCCTTTGATCGTCGTTAACCTAGTTCTAGTGTTACAAATACAATAGCAAAAAATAAGTAGAAAAAAAGTAAGTTCTACTTTCCTTTTGTTATTTACACTCATTCAGCACGTGTAAAAATTAGAAATAATAATAAATAATAGCGACGAATCTTGGGGATACTTTCGATACAATTATCGACGATATTTGTCACTTGTTATTTGAAGATATCTTAATTCTAAATTTTATGTATCGACGCGTAAAGTTAACATAATTAATTTTGCAAGATTTGATTTATTACACGAATGTTATTCGAGTATTCCGAGTGCACGTAGGCTTGTCGTTGACGTAGTATGCATCTCTTTAAGAGAAATCATCATAATTTCAATGCTAGCTAGCGCAACGTACGCTAATATTCTTTCTGAATATTTTAAAAGCACTTTGTCATCTCGTTAAGATACGTAACCTCGTTACGACGCGACATGCAGTGAAAACACCTCGCATTTGTTAAAACCGGTTTATTTTCCCTCGTCGTTTTTAATTTTCAATTCTTTTTAATTTCACATCCATATCTTTTTGTTACGGGAGTGTGTTTTTCCCCCCAGGAAATATAAATATAAATAAGAAAATATGAATATTTTATATTGATAACTATTTACGAATGGGAAATTCTATGTTTTAGTGACAGTGATTCACAGAATATTTTCCAACAAAGAAACGAAATTTTCCGATTTTTGCAACTTGCCAGAAAATTTATATTTATATATTTTTTTTTATTTTTATTATTTTTTATTATTTTCTATTATTTTTATTTTTACTTATTTTCTATTATTTTTATTTTTACTTATTTTCTATTATTTTTATTTTTACTTATTTTCTATTATTTTTATTTTTACTTATTTTCTATTATTTTTATTTTTATTTAATTTTCTCATTTATCGATCACTACTCGCAAAAGAAATTCCACTTTCCACTTGCTTGTGACAGTGTTCTCACAGAAAACTTCCAATTTTGGCGACTTGCAAACAAACGAATTAATCTTCGAAAGATAAATGAAGACACTTGGGGGAGCGGCCGGGCAAATTCATTACCCGAACGAAGCCAAGTCATTTTTTTTCCCCCTAACTCGCGCCTCCTAATTATCTCACGCCTGATAATCAGGGGTCATCAACTATAATCGCGCGGATAGAATGACAGTTATTCACGCGGATGACGCGCGTGTCTCGTGACGCGCAGACGTTTTTACGGGGAAAAAAGAGAACGACTTTCGAAATCGGACTCCGATACTACGCGTGGCAACTCGCCTCGATCTAGCAAACTCACCGGTTGAGGTCCTCTCCGTGAGTCAGAGCAAACGAACGATATTGAACGAACGTATCCATCGGGCATGATTCATTCACATCGGCGACAGCCATTGTTAAACTCAATTACAGCTTCGAGATAACACGATCGCAAGGACGTTGAATAAAAGTTAATTAATAACGGCGGCAGCTTAGTGGATTCGTGCGACTACTGCAAAGTGGATCGAGCCCCAGCGAGTTTTCACGTTATGTTCGCGCTCACCTGTTATGTTCAGTCCGGCGAATGCTTGGAACTCGGAGATCGCTTTCGAGAGCGTGTCCTGTGATATGATTCCGCCACTTGTTGGATTAATTGGTTGCAGGTAGCCGAACTGAGACAGGTAGTTCTGCAACAGGTGAACAAATTTCGTTAGATAAGTTTTTCTCTTTTTTTTTCTTTTTTCTTTTTGAGAAAGATAGAGATAAAGATAGAGTTAAAGTTAAGTTTTTTTTCTTTCTTCTTACTTTCTTCTAAAGTACATTAGAAAAATTACAGTTAAGTTGTTCTTTTCTTTCTTTTGAGAAAGATGGAGATAAAGATTGTTAAATTACAAAGTATATTAAAAAAAAAAAAATTACAATACAAATACAAATGTTAAATTACAGAAAACATTAAATTAAATAAAACATTAAAAATGTTAGATTACAAAAACATTAAATTAAGTTACATTAAAAAAAAAAAAATTACAATACAAATACAAATGTCAAATTACGAAATTACATTTAAAAAAAATTACAATTAAGTATATTAAAAATACATTAAATTACATTAAATATTAAATAAATGCATTAAATAATTAAATTGAAAATACATTGCATTAAAAATAAGTATCAATTGTACGAATTAAATCGATGAATTGAACAATACAGATATGTGAGTTTTCAAGGTTCTAACTTGGTCGGGAAATAATAATTGTAACCGGTATCTCGGTGTTACGCGAACGATAAAGAGATTGTTATTATCTCGGTCGATGGTTGAATTTCGCGCAATTTTACTGGAAAAATACAAATGAAACGTACAGAGGGATTGACCTCTCTGGTCTGATTCTATTTGCGGTATGATACAGTTATTTCAGCCATAGTGAATAAGGAGAATTAATATTCCGGCGAATAAAACACGTGTACGTGTTTCCGTTTGTCTTTTCCTATTTCTGACTGAATCACAGCAATTTTGTTCGATTTTCCTATTTCTGACTGGATCGCAGCAATTTTGATCGATGAAACAAGTAATAAGAACAATTATCTTTTAACAAGCAGAAGCTACTCAAGAAATTACGAATAATTAATGTAATATAAATATATTGTTAACAAAAAAAACGTTTCGTCAACTTGACAACAATTAGCTCTCAATTATCAATTAGCGAGAAATTCATGAATCTAAACCTAACCTCTATCTACATATATCTACATTCTAACATCTTGTCAAGTAATTAAGAAGCTACAAATCATTAATATTGTTAATAAAAAAATTTCGTCAACTTGACAGCATCAATTATCAGGAAACTGATGAATCTAAACTAATCTCTATCTACATATATCTACATTTCTAACCTCTATCTTCTCAAATAATTACTTAAGAAATTACAAATGATTGGTACTGTTAATGAAAAAAAACTTCGTCAACTTGACAGCATCAATTATCGAGAAACTCATGAATCTAAATTAACCTCAATTTACATGTATCTACACTCTAACCTCTATCTGCAATAGGTAGAAGCTACTTGAAAAATTACAAATAATTAGTACTGCTAATAAAAAAAAAAACTTCGTCAACTAGACAGCATCAATTGTCGAGAAATTCATGAATTTAAACGAACCTCTATCTACGTATATCTACATTCTAACCTCTATCTTCTCAAGTAATTACTTAAGAAATTATTAGTACTGTTAATAGAAAAAACTTCGTCAACTAGACAGCATCAATTATCTTGAGAATTTCATGAATTTAAACGAACCTCTGTCTACATCATTTACGCCAAATAATATAACATATCAAACGTTTAACTCTGAAATAAGACGTCAAGATTCGGATTCTTAACGCCAAATTGAGAAATAATATCGGGCTTGGAAATGATCGCGAGTATTAACAACGAGTTGATCAGAATTCAACAGATTCTTCAACGTACAATCTTAAAAAAAGATTTCTGCATGTTCATTTACATATATTCATATGTCCGAGTATATATAGTAACCCTGTTGCGCTGGCCAACTGATTGCGGACCATAACGAGTGACCAAACCGTATACGATAATCCGTCGCTTTCTTCTTGAACTCGCCGGTATATCATTGGATAAAAATTATTAAGGAGTAATAAGTTTATTGTGTTTTTGCCTATTTAAATATAAGTGTATATAATAATAATGTATAAATATATAAATAATAATAATTATATATTTATATTATATTAAATATATAAAATAATTATATATTTATATTATGTCAAATATATAAAATAATAGTAATATAATATATATAAATATATAAATGTATAAAATAATTATATATTTATATTATATTAAATATATAAAATAATAGTAATATAATATATATAAATATATAAATATATATAATAATAATAATTATATATATTATAATAATATATAAATAATACAAATACAAACATAAAAACTGAGAAAATATTGCAATTTTTGGAACGAAAAATTCTCGACGTGGCACGTGATTCCAGCGCAAGAGGTTAAGAAGCAAGTATTATACTTAGAAATACGCATATGTATATGAGAGGAGTCGAAAAAGTGAAACAGAATCTCAAGTCGAGTTCGTCGTAAAAACTGTAAAAGATCAAGCGAGTCGTCGCACGTAGCGCTCGTTCGAGGCGTTCTAATGCAATTAAATTTATTACTCGAAGAGCAGCACTGCGACCACCTGTTTCGCTGTTAACGAAACGACACGCTGATAAAACGCGAGACGAGCACTAAAAACTCAATCGCAGCCTCGCTCGACTCCTCGTAAACGTGAAGTTACGCCGTGACTCACGAATAAACGAGAATATTCGGTTGAATAGTGCATTCTTCCAAGCCTCCCGTTTTAAGGACTTAAAATCACCAATGAATGAACGACGATGATTCACTCGTTCGTCGAATAAACTCTATAATTTTTCCACCAACTCTAGGAGGATCTTTTAGGTGTTGAAGTGGCGATTATTTGGGATTGAAACAAGGTCGATTCGATCTGCGTGTGGCTTTTGGTTTCTCAAATGTAATAAAAAAAAAAAAAAAAAAAATGCGTAAAATTTGTATCGCAAGGCTGAATCATTCCGTATCCTTCGAGGATTATTTTCATTGCAAGAGATCATTCCGCGTTCCTTTCCAGACACGTAGAGTTCGAGCAGGATTCCGCGAAACGCATCGCGCTTTGCTCTATGCAAATCGGTCTCCGCTTTTATGGATTTAGTCTCGATACAACGTACCCGAGATCGACGAAAATAAACATCGCCATTTGCCTAGAGGGGGGGAGGAAAAAATGAGTCTCTCTGCCGCGGAGTGGGAGTACGGCACGTATCGATCATAACTTCTTTGTGGAAGATCCGAGGCGAAATTTTGAATGAGCTGCTTCGTGAAGAAAGCAAACGAGCCGTGAGATTTCCATCAGTAAGACGTTAAAGTAAAAGAAACATCAAAATTTCTTTACAATAAAATAGAATAAAATCAATATAAATAAGAGCAAATAAGAATTATTAAGAGTAAAATGAATATAAATGAGAATTAATAAGAATCAAATCAATATAAATAAGAATTAATAAGAATAAAATCAATATCAATATAAATAAGAGCAAATAAGAATAAAATCAATATCAATATAAATAAGAATTAATAAGAATAAAATCAATTTAAATGACAATTAATGAGAATAAAACCACTGTAAATGAGAATAAATAAGAATAAAATCGATATAAATGAGAATTAGTAAGAATAAAATCAATATAAATGAGAATTAATAAGAATAAAATCAATATAAATAAAAATTAATAAAAATAAAATCAATATCAATATAAATAAGAATTAATAAGAATAAATTCAATATCAATATAAATAAGAATTAATAAGAATAAAACCAATATCAATATAAATAAGAATTAATAAGAATAAAATCAATATAAATAAGAGCAAATAAGAATAAAATCAATATCAATATAAATAAGAATTAACAAGAATAAAATCAATTTAAATAAGAACAAAATCAATTTAAATGACAATTAATGAAAATAAAATCACTATAAATGAGAATAAATAAGAATGAAATCGATATAAATGAGAATAAAATAGAAATCGTTCGAATCTCCAAAAATATACTTAAAACGATCATTCAAATGAGTAGCTCCAGCGTTAAAAAAGAATTAATCGAGAGGGAAGAGACTACTTAGTCATTGAAATGGAATGAGTCCCAAGGATAAAAGGATAAAAGGAAATTCTATTCTCGAGGATCAAAATTCTTCTTCCACGAAGAACTTGTTCGTGAATCGTCGCGATCACGACAAAACTCCCCATCGATTTCTCGATTTCCGCATGGTGTCAATGATTCAAGATTCCTGGATCATCGTAGCTTCCGCATCATACGAATCTCGTAATGAACTCGAGTCGGTTCCAGGAACCTGATTTTTATGAATGAACGTAAGCGGAGCGAGCGTACTCGCGCGCGTGTGTGTCACGCCTGAATGGCCACTCCTTCCGACGCCCTCGCAGCCAGCATCTCTGCCTGCGAGAGAAGAGACGCCAGTGCTCATAAATATTTCAACACTACGGTCAGTTTCCAATGAGAAAAAAAAAAAAAGAAGAAAAAAACGTGTTAGAAATTACTTATGGGAGACTGAGAGATTTATTCTTAGATTTCGCGACGATGGTGGTGACTCGAGTAAAATCGGGAGATCCAAGGACTTCGAATCGCCAGGCGAGTAACATCGCGTGGGATGAAGATGAACGACGATCGGTCTCGCGAATTCGAGGTTTCTCGACTCGACGATTCGATTAATCTTGCGGTTTTCAACGAGCCGATGCACTTGAACTTGTGTTTAGGACTTCCTTGGCACAGTGACTCAGCTAGCAGTTTCATTAATGAATGTTTAAATTCACGAGTGAATTAAAATGTTGAAATTAATTGAAATTAGTTTAATTCACGAATCAATATTTAAAGCAAGGATATTAGTTGAAAAGACCTTGTAGATTTCTTTGCTTTCAAACGTTTCTATATAAATAAATGAAACGTCGTCTGTAATAATTTGAGTGATAAGTTGGCCACAATTTCAGTCGCTTATTGAAACGAAAAAATGAGAGGATCTCTCTGCCAAAATTAGTCACTTCCGTTTGCTTCCAAAGTAACTCAGACGTTCGTTATCAGCAAAAAAAAAATCTC